GGGGAAGTAATCAGTAATTAGTTACTGATTACTTTTTTCAAGTAACTTGACCAACACTGTTAGGGACTGAGTAAAAGCGCTATACACATGCAGGCCATTTACCATTTTTTAACTATGTTCGTGACAAAGAAAGAATCTTGGTAGGTCGTTCCAAACATCTCGGAGAATCAAGCACAGATCTCCTGTGGACGTCGGCGTCCTCACATCCTGTCTCTGATCCCAGACACACTCGATGTTGAGATCAGGGCTCTGTGGGGGCCGTACCATCACTTCCAGGACTTCTTGTTCGTCTTTACGCTGAAGATAGCGCTTCATGACTTTGGCTGTGTGTTTGGGTCGTTGTCCTGCAGAATACATTTGGGGCCAATAAACAATCGTTTATATTTCTGAAAGCACCTTTCACCTGCTGAAACCCTTTTGCACAGGACTGGAAATAAATTAAAACCATATATAATAATCTTGATTGTTCACATTAGAATATATGAACATATATAAACTGATAAACAAAGGCTAGACGAGCAGGTGGCAGTAAAAACAAACAGCTGGAACAACTGGCAACAGGTCAGCAACATGACTGTGTATAAAAAGAGCAAAGTAGAGACTCTGGTGTTTAAAACTACACTAAGATGTCAAAAGAACATTACAGCAAACACGCGACAGAAAATCACCAATACAAATGTACACAACTACTTCTGTGCCACTTAATATGCAGTTCGCTACCATGAAGCCTGGAAGCTGTTTCCTGTGTGTTACTGTACAGCAGCTCAGGCAAGCTTCCAGTATGGAAATAAAAATGAGTCCAGAAATCTCCATCCAGGCGAGAGCTTCAACTGGAGCTTAAAAAATCGTCATACAACTTTAAAAACCGATGCAGCGAAACCAAAGCCTGTCCAGGCCTCACCTGCTGCTGCAGCAGCTCGTTGTACAAAATACACAAAGGGTTCACTTTTATGTTTTATTCACTTAAATAGATTGATCAATACGTATGTGTTAGGAATTTGAGCACTAACATCTATTCAGACTCTTACAGAAAGATGCGTCAGTTTGGTGAACTTGTATCAAGATGTTCATTTTAATTCGTAATAAAAGAAAAACGTCTCAAAACATTTATAAATGTTTTCTTTGAAAATATAATCGGGACTCCAAACCTGTTCAACATCAGCACGCAGCACAGCAAAGGGAAAAGCATACAGTGGTTCAAAAACATGAAGAAAAAAACATTTTTACAGTATCTACAAAAGCGAAGCAAAGTGTTTGTCTTTGTGAGGCCTCAGCCTCCCGCAGCTCCAACAGAAAAAGGCTTCTTAACCAGATAAATGCTTTTCAGTAATGCTAATAAATATTAGCAACAAAACAACAGTGTGCTAGAAATTCTAGCAATGACAAAAAAGCCACATATGATAAGTAGTTGTTTGTTCCAGACTCGTGTGCTCTGCCTGCATCACATATTTAACAGATATTAAGCTTAAAGGCTGAAACCCACAGCGTGTAACCAAACATGTGGAGCCTTCTTACTCACATCAGACCTGCCATTCAGAAAATATGTGGTCACTGGACTTATAATGAAGAGAGTCGCATTTCTTTCATTTATGCTGGGAAATAGTTGGAGCTTAGTCTTGTGCTTTGATAGGACTCTGTCAGAAGCCTGGGTAACAAAACAAAGCTGATAGTTGCAATTCCAACGTCACAAGGACGATTATTTTACTGAAATGTACTGTACACGACAGCGATTTTACTGTGCACAGTGCAGGAAATGCAATTTAACAAATACACGTGTTTGTGTTCTGCCATGAAGATACTGCATGCATCATACAGAGTCCTTCAGAGTGACCGGTTTCCTCTGTGGCACAAATAAAATTACACATGAATCAAGTTATATTTGAACCAGAAATACGGCTCCGAAGAACAAACCATTATAAAGTGAAATATCTGTTGTCCAGAGAAACTTTGAGAAATTCAAAGCACCATGTTGAAAAACTGTACACAGCAAGTAGGCTCGTGGCGTTTAATACAGAAGACGTCCTGTTGCAGCCGTGATTGGGTATTGATTACTGCGTGGCTGTATTTCTGTGCAATCAGCTAAACGAACTACCTGATGGACCTGTGCAACACTCACCAACAGTTACAGACCCTGACGGACAAAACATAAAAAAGGCACCGATGCCTTGGGGGGGGTCTTAACATTACCACTCAAACCACCCACAGTGAGCTGAAGACATAACATCAACTTTCATTTATCTTCCAGCTAAATTTAGATAAAAAACATAAAAAAGGATGCTTTTGCTCTAACATGAAGTGATACACTGTTCATAACCTGCAAATTTGTGTGTGTGTGTGTGTGTGTGTGTGTGTGTGTGTGTGTGTGTGTGTGTG